ATTATTTCTTTGTCTTCTGTCAATTGTCCATACAGATATACTGATTTTATATCTATCTGATGTATTTCATAATTATTAGATGCTGCCTATACTAATATTAATTGCACTGTAGATAGTCTAACAGTAGGAGCAAATAAATTGTCTGTATGATAGTCAAGGCTGTCAATCTGATAGTTTCCTTGAACTACTAATTGTGCTTTGTATTTTTCTATGCTATTGTCAGTATATTGCTTTATTTTATAGACAAATTGTGTTCTGATAATGTTAATATTATTGTGTGGATTTGTGATTTCCCATGTATTATGATTTTCTAATTGTTTTATTTTGTCTTTCATAGCTGTAATCTATGAATCACAATCCAGACATTGGATTGCTTTATAAAATGAAGTTGGATCCAATTGTATTTCACTTATTTTAGTATTAAATTCTGTTAAATGAATAGCAATATTATCTTCATCCTTTTTGCTAAGTACATACATGTGTTTTGTTATGTGTTTATTCTCCATGCATTGTTCAAGCTCAATAGTACATTCTGTCAGTTTCCATTTCTGTTCCAATCAATGTAGTTTAGGTTCTACTTCTTTTTCAGTTAATTTAACTTTGTTGTCTATTAAGTCTGTTGGTTCTGCTACTTTTCCTTTTTTGTTAGGATCAGTATTGTCTGTATTATCATTGTCTGTTCTCATTATTCTATCATCTGTTTCATTATTTTTAATTATTAAATACTTGTTTGTATCATTGTTTGTATTGTCTATTTTCTCCCCTTCAATTTGAGGAGGTTTACCTTTGAGAAATTGAATATTTTGTTCAATAGTGATTTTATTATTGTGCCAAGTTTTATAGCCTTTACTTTCATTGTCTAATCCTATCCAACAAGCAATGATACCTTACTGTTGTATTTTTGTAGGATTTTCATTGTGAATGATAATATATTGACTAAATTCATATATATTATCAATTGTTCTGTGTGTTCTGTAATGTTTGTAATGTGGGGTATTATAATTTAAAGTAGCACACAGTGTTCTATTATAAATATAGGTAATATGAATTGCTGCTTCAGCCTATAATATAAACAGTAATTCAGTAGATGTTAGATATGCTCTTACACCTCTAAATATAGTTTTATGAGTTTGTTCTGCTGTTCTGTTCTGTTACAGAGTATGATGTACTGTTAGTCTTTGTTTTGTTCCTTGTGAATCTAAATATTGTTGGAAATCTTTACTAAGGAATACAGTATTGTTATCACTTTGTAAAAGCTTTATTTTAACTCTGTACTGTGTAAATATTTTAGTTGTCCATTGTATGTATTGTGTATATGTATCAGATTTTGTTTGTAGTTTGAGCATTATGTACCAACAAGTAGAATCATCTACAATCATTAATAAGTAATGTATGTTCTTATATGTGTACAGTTTGATAGGACCAATAAT